TTGAGAGTGGCAGTATTTGCATTGGTGGCGATGATATCAGGATGCTGGATGTAGCCTGGTGGAGGAGCAAAAACGGTTATGTTGGTCAAGAACCTGTCCTTTTCGATATGACACTCGCTGAGAATGTCCGTTACGGTAAGGAAGATGCGTCTATGGCTGAGCTGGAGAAGGTTGCTAGTATGTCCAATATGGATTATGTTACCTCTATGGGAGGCAGCGTGAAGTGGGACGACCCGATGGGCCCGAAAGGTTGTCGTCTGTCTGGCGGTCAGAAGCAGAGAGCAGCTATTGCTAGAGCTCTTGTGAGAGATCCTCATATTATTTTCCTCGATGAGGCTACGAGTGCATTGGACTCTACTAGTGAGAAGATCGTCCAGAATGCTATTGATACCGCCTCTGTTGGTCGTACCAGTGTAACTGTTGCTCATAGGTTGACTACTGTTCGTAATTGTGATGTTATTTACGTCATTACTGATGGTAAAATCGTTGAATCTGGCAATCATGATGTTCTTATGGCTAATCGTGGTGTATACTACGACTTGTATACCAAGGGTCAAAAGTAGTAGTAGTACTCTACAACACCCTAACACTATTTCACTTCTTGTTTCTCTCTATATACCTTATATTGGGCATTTAGCACGTCTATCTGGCTTCACAGCGTTCGCGAGTCGTCAGTGCCCATAATAACAATTTCCTGGCGTATTCATTCCCCATAGCGCTATGTCTCGTTGAAGCTAGCGTGTTGATAGTGTAATCTCGGTTGGTATTGGGTTCGAGTTAGTTGGGAATCTCCTGTTTTTGCAGTTGTAGTTTTTCATCAGTCCACTTACCCAAGCTCGTTTAAAAACTCTTATGCGCGAACGAAAAAGAGTTTACTTCCTAGCCCTCTCAGTTAGGAACACATCGTATGATATATTCCAACTGTTATGCCCCCTCGAAAGGTGTTGTGTTTGACCAGTGTGAGCCACGGACATCAACTCTCGCATGATTAGGCTTAAATTTACGAGTGTACAGTCCACTGTGTACTGGCTTTAGTCTCTCGAGTATTCATCAAAGGACCAAGCCTCGAGGATAGAGACATTACTAGTAACGATTATACCAAGCAAAAGTTTATAGGCTGAGAATAAGTCGTCGTTAGCAGTATAATGATTAATTACCCGCGAGCGCACAATGGAAGTAGACAAACACGGAAGGCATTACTTAACTCGATAATCTCCTGGTTATTGGAAGATGATGCTGCATCATTATCGCTGTCCCAATTCTCCGTAGCACACAATATGTCTCTCTCAAGTGGAAAAATCCCTTGGCCGAGCTTATGATGAAGATAGCCTACCTCGGTTGAATATAATCATGCTGCCTTATGAGGCATTCTCCTGCAAACATATCCAGTGTAGTGTTATCTCAATGTTACTAACACTGTCATACGCTTGATTAAGCTGGAGGGAATCACTATCAGTATCATCACAGATCAACATTTAGCGACTCGGACTAGACTCCTACTGCTTAATTAACATTAAAGGATGATAATATTAATGCCCCTGTTTATATCATACCTAAAAAATACATATTATATTACTAGGCCTATAGAGGCACTACTGCTAATTGCCGTAACATTATCCTCGTTAAAGGAATGCGTTCTCATAGAAGAGATCAGGTCGCAATCACAACAATAGGAGAACAATCAACATGGACTCAATGACATCATTCCTTCATCAACATATTTGTTCTAGGAATTTGCATTGGCTAATTACCATCGATATATTACTCTATGCTCGTTACTGTTCAATCATGATCATTTCAATATGTGTTTTTTTTTCGCCATTGTAGAATTAAGACACCATCAGAAACGCAAAACCTCAATGTAATGTGCAAGTTTAACAGTGTTCTTGAGTGAACTGACACAGTATAGTGGAACTTACTTCGGCGTAGTAGAGTGCGAAATCACAGATAAGTTATTTACAGCTATTCCAGACACTTCGCATGAGGAAAATCGAATCTGAGTTTCGGAAATCTCCACGAAGAATTCTCGTATAGAACTCTGAGGAAGTACAGCTACTTCGATACGACGAAGAACTCTCAATAAACTGTCCAGTCCGTCCACGATCGGGTCTGAACGACTTATGCCGAGCACCAAGTTGTGAGGAGTTATCAAACGACGTTGAAGCACTATAATACGAGCTGAGTTTGGTGCAGTTGTCACAGCTTGGAGAACCAACTTATGAGAAAAGAGGAAGAATCATAAAAATATTAATGATAGTAATAGTCATAGTAGCGTAATGCGAGGTGTTATTGTCGAATACATCCAGAAACGATATAATCACTATATCATCGTGTGAGGAGACGATATCGCCTTTGGGACGGTAGCACACTGAGGCAGGCCAAGATGGCACCCATACACCCTTCAGTAGAAGATAGACCAGCTGACACACTCGGATGCCATGTCGAATTGCGCCTATTATAGTCCTGAAGAAGGCGAGAAATCAACCACTCAGATGACCGTAAGGGTTTACTTTGTAACTTTCCACATAATGGTAAGTCGCCAATGATTGTATCGAGGGATCTTCTACGCCCCTATACGGCGCTGCATCCAAGGTGACTCTAGGTAGAGAGTCGTGAATGCCATTGGACACTTTAGCCGTGTCAACGCATGAGTGACTCCGTGTAAAGCACGCAGAAGAGGTCGATTGTTGGTCTGGAAAAGTTACTGACAAACACCGACGCTTGGGCGCGGTATTCTCGGCATCTGATGATGCGGTAGTATCTGATGGAAATATAGCAAACGAGCAGAGTAGAGGTTCTCAACACGTACCACTGCAATCCGTGATCGTCGATGCCTCAGATCCGAGCGAACACGTAGAGCAACTCCCCTTCGTCTTATCCCGTAGACAAGACT